AAGATGGCCGAAGTTGGCTCGAAGCTGGCCCAAGACGGCCCAAGAGGCCTCCAAGAGGGCCTCCATCCAGGAAGGCCAGAAAAATGCCAAACACATTGATTTTCCATTGGATTTTAAAAGGATGTTGACATTTGCTTTGTTTCGGCCTTCCGACGACCCGATACGGCCCAAGAGCCCCCAAAGATCGCGCAGAGATCGTCCAAGAGGCCTCCAAGATGGCCCCAGAACGGCCCAAGAGGCCCCCGAAGACGGCCCCAAAGACGGCCCCAAGGGGCCCCAAAGACGGCCCAGGAGGCTTTTAAGACGCCCAATATGGCCTCCTAGACGGCCCTGGATCATTCCAAGAAGGCGCCAAGTCGGCTCAGAGAGACCCCCCAAACGGCTTCCGACGGCGTTGGACGGGCCAGGGGCCCACCAAGACGGCCGAAGATGGCACTAAGATGGCCCAAGACGGCCCAATAGGCCTCCAAGAGGGCCTCCAGGAATGCCAGAAAATGTCAAAATCATTGAGTTCCCATGAGTTGTTGAAGGATTGTGGCATTTGCGTGTTTTCGACCTTCCGACGGCCCGAGACGGCCCAAGTGCACCCAAAGATCGCCCAAGAGGCCCAAGACGGCCCGAAGAGGCCCCAAGACGGCCGCAGAGGCCTCCAAGACGCTCAAGATGGCCTCCAAGACGGCCCAAGAGCCCTCCAAGACGTCCTCCAAGAAGGCCCGAAAGTGTCAAAATGGCCTCCAGGCGGCCAGGATGACCTTCAAGATGCCCACGTGTTCCCCGAAGGCTTTCCAAACCGAGTCGGGGAACGCATGGTCCGATAGCTTGGCAGGTCTGGCCTCAACGTTCGGCCACATAGGCGCTTCCAAAAAGGCAGGGGGCGGCGGTGATTCGCCGTAGGCGTCTTCAATACCGAAGCGCGCTCCCGTCGGCCCCGAATCTTGAGGCTGATGGGGGAAGCGATGGGCCCTCCGCAAGAATGAGCGTTTGTTTCGCAACACTGCGCGCTCCCTTTTGGCGCGGTCGTCCGCCAGCTTTGACATGCGGGGTGTCGAGAGCCTTTGTCGAAACTTTTACTTTTACTCGACTGGAGCGGATACGCGCGGCAGCGCACCTGGATACAGCAACTCTTTGAACCAAGGCTCTCTGCTGCGAAAAAACTGCGCTTTACATGGCTGCGGCATAGCGCGGGTAAGCCCCGCTCGACCCCTCATGCAACTATTTCAATGCACAGAAGCTTGGGCAATCGCTCCAAGACACACCGAAGACTCCTAAGAGGACTCCAACGTCACCTGCCGACTCCATCAGCAAGATACCGTCAAGAGTACAACCCTATCTACGCAAGCTGATTGGCTTGACTCGGGCCGAAGGAGCAACAACATCTCGCAAAAACGAACGAGCCGCAAGAACCCTTGTGCTGAGAGGGACACCATGGCAGTGGAACGTATCCCCCGTGCCCAAACTACGACTGAGCATTTGTCATACGGGACGCAAGTTTTACAACGCAGAGTTCGAACTTCGCTCTGCGGGGCCAGGGGGAGTTCGCAACTCACTCATATGCGAGGAGTCCAGGGGAACTAGGGGCCATTCAAGCAGAAACGATCGTGCGTGCGTGAAAGAAACGAGAGCGGTTGATGTGACACGGCCCCCCCCTCCACGCCCAACAACCCCTCTGTTTCTGCCTAGGAGGTGTCGGCTCACCAAATGCCTCGCAAGGGCCGGGGACCCACTGCATCCTCATCTGTGGGGTTGGGGGTTGAGGCCCAGGGAGTCTGCGGGAGTAGTGGCCTGCCCCCCCCCCCCCTCAAGGGGGGCTGACGGAGTGAAGGCGTTTACCCCCTACGACCCGACCCCCTGCGACAGGAAGCAATAGGAGAGGGATCAGGTCAACAATCGAGCTTAGCTTGCCACCGTGCGCCGCGCACGTAGGTGCAGGCGCGTAACTTGCACATGCATGCGTACGCGCGTGCGTACTTCGACTAATCGAATAGGCCCCGTTGGCCTACGATTGCCCAGCGCGTCTCCAATTTACCAGCAATAAACCGCAGGATGTCCCCAGGAAGCCCCAAGTGGCCTCAAGATGGTCCCAAGGACCAAGGACCTCCCAAAAACGCTCCCGAAAGTTCAAAAACATATGAGACAGTTCTCAACCACGTTGTTCTACACGACCCAAAAACGCTCCAACATGAGCCCAAGACAGCCCCTAGCTAGCTCCAACATGGCCATAAAGGAACCCTGCGAGGACCCGAAGAGCAGTCTCCACGAGGCTACCAGCCAAGCGGCCCCAAGGGCACCCGCAAAGAGCAGATAAAAGAGGGGCACACCTACATATCCATGTATGTCTGCATGCATACAGACATACATGCAAACATACATGCATGCATACATACATACATACATGCATACATGCATACCTGCATACATGCCTACATGCCTACATGCCTACATGCCTACATGCCTACATGCCTACATGCGTACATGCCTACATGCCTACATGCCTACATGCCTACATGCCTACATGCCTACAAGCATGCATGCATGCATGCATGAATGCATACATGCATACATGCCTACATGCCCACATGCCTACATGCCTACATGCCTACATGCATACATGCATGCATGCATGCATGCATACATACATACATCCATACATACATACATCTGCATCTATATACACACTTTTGGGGGGAGAAAAAAACGCACACAACCCACCCCTCAACTGGATTGTTGGGGGTGGGATGTGTTGGTGCGCGCTCGCAACGCTCGTGCCCCAGCCCCTCCACCCTGCCTAGGCTGCGCCCTGGAGTGAGCCCCCTCCTCGCCTCCACCACCATGCCGCCTCCTTAAAAAAGAGGAAAATGCGCCGCGTTTGCCTGCGGATGCATCGCTACCCGACTATAGGCAAACGACGGCGGCGGCGAAAAACCAACGACAAACGACTACAAACGGGCGACGAACGATGAACGACGAACGACGACCGACGACGACGAGTGGCGAACAAAGAACGGCGACCTGGACGACGACAGTCGACGAACGGCGAACGACAACGAATTACGGAGGACGAGCGCCGCAGGCCGAACGACGCCGCACATGCGGGGGCATCGCAACGCGACCACCGCGCGGGTGGTCGGCGAGGGTGAAGGTCTGCGTGAGCAATTGACAGGCTGTCTCGGGAATCCTTCGGCCGTGTCAGGATTCCCCGAGCGTGGACTCGCGCGTCGCATCGGCTGCGGTCTCGGCGCGCGATTTTCGCGCGGGGTTCGGTGCGCGGCGCCAAGCAGCGTCCTCGCGGGACAGTGTAGCGCTCGCGCGCGCAAGGAAAGACTCGCGCGTAGCAGTGGCGATAACCTCGGAACGCAGATTCTCGCGCTGGGATCGGCGCGCAGCGCCAGGCAGAGTCCTCGCGCGACCGGGCAGCGGCCGAGCGCACGGACGAGGACTTGCGCGTCGCGCCGCCAGGGTAGCGCCCGCGCGCGCTGGAGAGGACAAGCGCGCGGCCTCGGCGATGGTCTCGGAACGAAAGTTCCCACGCGGGGCCCGCGCCCGGCGCCATGCAGCTTCATCTCGCGAGTTGGCAGCGCTCGAGCGCGCGGGGAAAGCTCGCCCGCCGCATCGGCGGAATGATATTTCGGCGCCGTGGCCACGACGCAGAAATAAGTGATGCTCCGTAGTTGTTCAAGGATTTTTTGTGTCCTCGCCATTTCGAGCTTCCAGCGCTCCAAGACGGCCCAAGAGGCCCCAGGAGGGCCCCAACACGGTCCAAGAGGGCCTTAACATGGCCCAAAAGGCCCCCAAGGTGGCCCAAGACTCCCAAGAGGGCCGCATGAAAGGAAAGGGAACACGCACAGACATCTCGTACCCTCCGGCCCAAAATGGGCCCGAAGGCCACCAGGAAGTCCGCAAGAAGCCCCCACGAAGCTCCAGGAGGCCCCCAAGAGGCCCAAACGAGGCCATCATATCAGGACCCTCCCCAAGAGGCCCCAAGACGCCCCCCCAAAACTGTATCCAAGAGGTTTCCAAAAAGGCTCCCGAGAAATCCTAACGAGCATCCGAGAGGTCCCTGGCCTGGAACCCAGGCACGAGCGGGCACTTTGTCGCCCTCGCCATAAGTCCGTGCTAACTTCGCCTTAAACTTGCGTCCCCACCTCGGCGCGGCGCATGTTTCGCCAGGCGGGATGGGCCGACGGCCACCAGAAACTCCCGCTTGTTAGTTCGACGCCCAGTGACAAGTCCACATCCGACCATTACGGGATCACACCTCCCTCTTTCGTGTCGGACCCTCGCACTCCTCGTCCCCCTCCGCATCCCGAGTCCCTCCCCCCCCCGTCCTGTCCCCTGTCCCCCCCCCCGTGTACGCATCCTCCTCCGTCTGCGCCTCCTCCTCCTCCTCCTCCTCCGATTCGCCTCCCCCTATCCGTCCTGTCTCATACCCCTCCGTTTACGCCTCGTCCTCCTCCTCCTCCTCCTCCTCCTCCTCCTCCTCCTCCGCCTCCTACTCCTCCCCCTCCCCCTCCTCCTTCCCGTCCTCCTCCTCCTCCTCCTCCTCCTCCTCCTCCGTCTCCTCCCCTTCCTCCTCCCCCTGCTTCTAACCCCCCCTCCACTTCCTCCTCCTCCTCCTCCTCCTCCTCCTCCTCCTCCTCCTCCGTCTCCTGCTCATGACCTTTTTCCTCCTCCTTCTCCTCCTCCTCTTCCTCCTCCTCCTTCTCCTCCTATTTCTCCTCCTCCTCCTTTCCACCCGCCGCACCCTCCCTGAAACGTCCCAGGACATCCTCGCAAATCCATTGCCTCGGGTGTCGACGGAGCGGCGCAAGCCTCTGGCATTGGAGCCCAGAGACCATCGAGTTTAGGATTCACTCTGGGACAGTTAGCGACAAGTGCAGCACGCTCGCCAGACGCGCTTCATCTGTGACCCGTAAGCGGTCACCTCCAGAGGGCGAACGGCGGCGAACGCGATGCCTGACACGAAGGGCCATAAAGTTCACAACTGCAACCTGCAGCCGACCTCAGATGGTCTCGTCCGACACCGGATCATTGCGCGAACCCTCCCCGTCGCTCGTGTTACCGTCCAGCTTCGTGTTGGGCTTCGGCTCCGCGTACCAATTGTCGAAGATGTCGTCGACGCCGTCTTCAATGATCGGGTCTGGAAAGCTCTCCTTGAAGCCAGCCTTGTTCAGGCCCCAGGCCGCCGCACAGGTGGCGGCAATCGACAGGTAGCCCAGCATGAACCACATCGGGGAAGTGGGCCCGTAGCCTTCCTTCGCCTCCTCTGAGAGGCCCGGGACGCCGCCCCCGCAGCTCTCGTCGGCCGCGAACAGGCCGTTCGCAAACTCGCTCGGGCTGGGGAAGGCCTTTTGCTGGTGGATGATGCCCGCACCGGCGCAGGCGGCCGCAAAGCAGGACCAAAAGATGGCACGGCCCCAGCGGCGGTCGATGGTGAAGGTTATCAAGCTGGCCCAGATCAGGCTGTTCAGCGGCGCCGACTGCGTCATGGCCATCTTCCCGTAAAAGCCCGAGAGGTACCCGTCCAGCTCCCCTGCCTGGCTTCCGTCCCCAACCAAATCGCCGGCGCCCGCAAAATCCAGCACGAAGAAGAACAGGCCCACGATGATCGCGGGCCAATGGCGAGGCTTCACAGACTCGAACGCCTGCTGTGTTATGATGAGGCCGAAAACCATGATGATGGGCCCAGTGGCGGTGAGCGGCATGGCCGAGGCCACGATCGGATATACGCCCGAGAGCGTGAGGATCAAATAGAGGAACCCGTTCATGATCGAGTACCCGTTGCCTGCCCCGTTTCTCTTGTGGATTGGGTGGCCGATGTAGACCACAGTTTCGATTGGAGAACCCAGCATGGCGCCGATCATGGTGCCGATGCCGTCGGCGATCATGGTCTCGCGGATGTTGTAGGCATCGCCTGCCTGCCTTGCAGACACGAGCACCATCAGGTCAAGCATACCATTCAGGAGTGAGATGGGGAGGATTATGCCCAAGTAATTGCCAAGGTGCTTGAACCCCTCGGTGATGTCTCCGACAGCCCAATAAAGACCTCTCCAAGGATCGACCTAATCAGTGTTTTCCGTGTTCGTTTTGTTTCCGTTTTCCCTCGTTTTGTCCGCAATCCGCCTTTGCTGCAACTGCCAAGCGAAGTCGAAACAAAAACGACCCACGAAATCGTCAAAACACCGTTTAGGTCGACCCCTGGGCCTCTCCCCTCGAAGCTGTCCACCTCCTGCTCCACTCGGTCGAAGGAGAAGACCGGCCCCTGCCATACGTAGGCGATGACCAGGGCGGGGACGACGATCTGCAGCGCCTCGGGGACTCTGGCCTCGCCGCTCGCGCGCCGCAGGCACCCCGAGTAGTACGCGAAGAAGCACATGAAGACCGGGAGCAGGCCTGGGAAGGGCGCCGACAGGTTGGGCAGGATCTGGTTGATCGACAGCCAGACTATGCCGATGCCTGCGAGCGGCGTCAGGAACGCAGCCGTGGGCGCCAGCCAGAGCACGTAATGACCAACGATGCCCATCACAATGTGCACAATGCCAGTCAGAAAATTGGCCGCAACGCCAACCTGATATGCGACCTCGACCGCCCTGTCTCCGCTCACGTCGCAGATGGCGCCCATAGCAATCGGCAGCATGATGCCGAAGATGAAGGGAAATGCGCCTGCACCTCCCAGCCCATATGGCTGTGCGGTGTACTGGCGGCCCTTCTCCCTCGTCAAGCGTGCGCTCTGGTACCCGTAATACATGTTACCAACGAAGAGCATCACACCGCAAGCGGGCACCATGCGCCGGAACACTATCTTGCGTGCCAGGTCCGGGCTCCCGCTGAGCACAGACATGATCGCTCCAGAAAGGGTCAGGAGTGTGGACAGGTTGTCAAAGAACAACGAGAACAAGGACGTGACATCTCCTGGGAAGAAGGTCACGGGGTATCCGGCCACCAGGAGCTGCGCCTTCATACGTCTGTCGTGCAGTCTCCCTGGTTGGCTTCGGGCACGACGGGAAAGCGAGAAACGACTTGAGACAAAACTCCTGCGGAGGGCAGCGGGAAGGGCAAGAGAGGAAGGAGTGCCAGGAGCAGGCTGGGGAAAAGGAAGCAACAGGGGAGCCCTACTTCATCGCCTCGCAGGCTCGTGGGACGAACCCGATGGATCCTCTCCCCCCGCGCCTTTTTTCGAACTGCGTTGCCCAGCCGCCAAGCTGCGGCAGCCGTGAACGCGACCAAGAGGGCTCCAATAAGGGGCCACGAAGGCCCAAGAAAAGCTCCAACATGCCCCCGTGGTGGCCATCAGGGGGGGGCCCGAGAACGCCCAAGCGCCAGGCGGCGGGCCAGGGGGGGGGGGGGGGCCGTCCCGAGAAGGCCCCCGAAGGGCCCGAGGAGGGCGCCCAGAGGGTCCAAAGAGTGCCTCGAGAGATGTCCGGGAGGCCCTGAGCGCCTCGTCCCGTGCATGTTCCTTGGTTGTCCCGCAGTTGCGGGGCGTCCGCTTGGGCCCCCAATGCATTGGGTCAGACGGCCCGCGGAAGACCGTCTCGTCTGGATCAAACGGTCCGTGGAAGACCGTTTCGTTTTGACGTCCTGCAGGGTTCTCAGGGGTTCTTTAAGACCCCCTGGGGGCGCTGTTCGGTCCTCGAACAATTGTCTCGGAGCATCTTGGAGTCTTGTTTGGGGCCTTTTCGGTGTTTGTTTGGGACTTCCAGTTGGTGTTCGACAAGTGTCGGCTTGCTTACCCTGGAAACATGCATTTACTCCGTTCCCGACGCCAAGGAACCCAGCCCGCGAGTCGCAAACAGGAACGCGAAGCGCGAGACAACATCGAAACGTGACGTGCTTGGCCAGGGGGGTCGCTCTAGCCTGGGGCAGGCTCAGGCCTTGGACTAGACCCGTCCACAACCACCGACCACCGCCTGGTGGATCGATCTTCAGGGACCTCGGCAGACAATGGATACGGGCACAGTTAAAACATGGCAACAAGAACGCGGATCAACACCATGAGCTCCTTCGCCGACGGACCAAGGCTCCATTGAGATTCCTTAAACGTCCCACAGTGAAAAATCGCCGCCGACTTCGGTAGGCGGCCGGGTTCCCGAGTCCCGGGTTCTGAGTTCTGGGTTCCCGTTTCCGGGTTTTGGATTGGTCGCGGTGGGCGGCTGGACTCCCGGTTCTGGGATCTGGGCGGGTTCCCGTTTCTGGGTTCCGGATTTGTCTCGCGGTGGGCGGCTGGGCTCCCGGGATCCCGGTTCCTGGTGCCAGGGTTCTGGTATACGTATATGTGTATACACCCATTTATATATATATATATACACATATATATATACACTAGGATCATGCACGCGCTAAACGCGCGCGCGTGATTCTAGCCGACTCCGCAGTCCTTGTCAGTAGGATTTGCAGTTCTGTCCGAATCACGCAGTCCTTATCAGTTCTGTCCGAATCCACGCACCCGAATTTACCAAAGGAGAAGTGCCCCGAACGTAGGCCACCCTTAGCGCGTGAAGGGCAGCAACAAGCTTGTGGGGCAGTCACGGAGTCCGTCGACCCCTTCGGGTTCATCAAGGCGTGTGAGATTTCCCCCCCAACGGACAAGTGGATGGAGGGGGGGGGAAGGGGAAGGGGGGGGGGGGGGGGGCAAAATTGCAGAGGAAAGCGCCGCCCAGTGGCGAGCCCTCGCCAGGGACGAGGCAGAGGAGGGCCGCAGAGCGGTGGCGGCGGCCGCCTCCTCGTCAACCTCGGAAGGCGGTCCATTGGAAGCCAGGGTAGACTGGCGCAAACCTAGTGCGAAACGGACAGGCGAAAATCACACAAGGGCGTGCAAGAAAGCACTCGCGACACGATGATCTCAAACGGTAATGCGTTGAAACCAAAAACTGATTATGTTGCAAGGCCGCCCAGTTGGCTTCGAGATGATACCACCCGAGGCTGTGTGTAGCACGTGCTACTTGAGAGGCAGCGGCCAAAGTGGCAAACCAGCACTCTCTCAATATGCAGATTGCCCTATTTGACAATGGGATCCCGACTGTCAAACGGGCAATCGGCCATTCTTCCCACCAGATATCCTGTTTGACAGTGGGGACCGGATGCCCCGATTACCTATTTGACGAAGGGATTCACTTTGCCAATTGGGCGATCGGAGCTCAACTCGCCCGCCTCGGCCTAGCCCTTCCGATTGCTCATTTGAATATGGTCACCCACGGTCAAACGGGCACTCGGAGCTCGATTCCTGCTGCTCGCCTCCATCCGATTGACAGTGGGCCTCCACTGACAAATTCGCAATCGGAGCTCAACTCCCGCGCCTCGGCCTGTCTCCCCGATGGTCCATGTGACACGGGGCCCCCGCTGTCGAATCGATAGTCGGACTTCCTTGGCCGCCCAGACCTGGCCCTCAAACAAGCTACTTGACAATGAGGCTCCAGTGCCAGATGCGCTAGCCACCTCCTCCCGCAGCCTTGGCTGGGCCTGCGCAATTGCCAGTGGAGCCTCACTGTCAAATGGCCAGCCCCCCGAGTGGCTGCCCATTTGGCAATTCGGCCCCTGGAGCTACACACATGCTGCAAAGCCTCATGGAAGACCACCAAAGAGCCGCGCAAGAGTATCCTGATGACCCCTCACGAGCTCCTGACGACAGGGGCCCGAGAAAGGAGCACCTTAATAACAGACCATGGAACATCGAATGTGTCAACTTGGTTTTTCGGACTCCCAATGCTCGCGCCATCCAGAGCGTATCCATGGCAATGTACACAGCTCCTTTGGATGCGCGGCCATCCCATCTGCACCGATCGCAAAATCATCGCGGCCCGGTTGGCACCGAAACCCATTCGAAGCGACCGGATACAAGCGGTGAGCCGCGAGTCTGGTCACTGCCGGAAGCCTCGTAGAGTTCACCGCACGCTTTGTATTCCTGGTGGCCACAAATCTTCGCTCCACCGAATGCCTCACTGGCAAAATGCTGCATAACGTCCCTCCGCCCATTTGGGGACACCCCTCCCCTCAAACATTCCGTGGCCCCACGGGTGGCTGGCTGGTCTGATTGGCGTCAGCAGCTGAAGTTCTTGTCCCTCGAAGCATAGTGAGGCGCTGGGGCATAAGAACTGTTCGCTTTACGCGGCTAATACATCGTTTGCGCATGTTTTGTGACTTCAGGGACTTCACGGCGAGCTTCATGGGAGTCGCAGCAGAATCCTCGAGGAGCCCTCTTTGGGCAGTCTTGAGACCCTCTTGGGGCGTCTTGGGGCCTTCTCATCCCGCCTTGGGCCCCTGAGAGATCTCCGTTGAGCCCGTTTTGGAAGCGTCTCTGGGCTGTCCTGGTCCGTCGTGGGGCTCTTTTGTGACCATCTTGGGGTCCTTTCGGGCGCCTCTGAGTCCCGAGCAGCCTTCTTAGATTCATCCTGAGCGGAAAGAAACTTCACAACGACTACATATAAGACTGCCGAATGGCTTGACTGATGCTGGTCGCCTGGATCTCCTCGTGCGACCTCCTGGGACCATCGCGGAGGCATCACAGGGCCCTCTCGGGCTGCCCTGAGGCCCTCTTTGGAAACGTTGGCGACGTCTTGGGTTTTATGTATTCGGATATTTTTTTGAGTTGGAACAAACTGCAGCAAGCAATGTCTGCGGTGCGAACGGTAATGGGCCCCCCTGCTATATGCGGGTGTACCCCACTGTCACCGCACACTTCTGCAGAAATACGAGCCTCGCAACATGGCGCCACAACGTGCAGCAGACAATGTCGGCAGTGCGACTGGGAATGGCGCACCTGCTATTTGCAGGTGCATGCCGCTCTGCGCTCAGAGCCCGTGCAATATGGAGACTCTTGGGGGGGCATCTATGGCCGTATTGGTGCTCTCTTGGGGTACCGCCTCTTGGGCCGTCAAGGGCCCTGTGGGGGCGCGTTGGGGCCATCTTAGGGGGCAGCTGGCCCCCCCCGGGGGCCTCTTGGAAGCCTTTTGGGGCTTGGCCGACGGGGACGACGTCTGTGGTGCCGCTCCTGGGGCTCGCCTGGAGGCGTCTTGGGCCCTTTCGCGGGGCCTCTTGGGCCGTGGAGGGGTCCTCTGGGGCCGTCTTGGGGCTCTCTTTGGGGTCACTGGGGCCGTTTCGGGTACGTCTGTGGGCGTCTTGAGCCGTCGGGAGCTCAAGAAAGCAAGCACGCTGAAATCTTTGAATCATTCTAAGGCCTTCAGCGCCTCCTGGACGCTCGTCGGAAGTTCCTGGAAGCCTTTCTGGTGAATCGAGGGTGTCTCTTTTGTGGCATTTTGGGGGTGCTTGGGGAGCCTTTGGAGGGCATCTTGGCGTTCTCGTGGGGGTCATGCGGTAGCCTCTGAGGGGTATCCGAGACAAAAAAGCAGAATGGCAGAAGTCATACATTAGTGTTACGTGTTTGGACAAACTTGGCGCTCTCTTCGGCGGTCTTGGGGGGCCTCTGGGAAGCCTCTTGGCGCTCTCTTGGGGTCTGGTGCTGGCTTCTTGGGCCGTTTGGAGGCTCTCGTGGGCTGTCTTGGAGCTCTCTTGCCTGTGTCGGAAGTGTCCCGAGGCATCTTGGAAGCCAGTCTGGGGCGCTCTTGGAAGCCAAGAAGGGAAGTACCGGAGGCTTGTCGCAGACGCCTGGATGCGATTGGAGGTTCTCTTGGGCCGCCTTGATGCATGTCAGGCTCCTCTCAGAGGCGATGTCGGGTCCCCACTGAGGGCGTGTTGGGGCTTCGTGGGGCCTCTTGCGCGCTTTGTGGGGGCGTCGTGGGGCCTCTTTAGAGCGATGTGGGGGCCTCGAAGCAGACCATCGGAGGCGAAAAGGCAACAAGGTACAAACCACTGCCCCTATGGGTGTGTAAATGTTTTTGGCTTGTCGGTGGTCCCCGCTTCCTGGGGCAATCGTGAAGTTGGGGGTCGTATCTTAAGACGTAGTTTGCTAGACATGGGCGTTTCGCTCGAGACATCCTCCAACCATGGAGATATTGAAATCGCTCGCCTACTGCTCGGATCTTCGAAACTGGGCGTTTCGCCCGAGGCATCCTCGAAGCAATGGGATGCCGACAGAGCTCGTGTAAGGCATCTTTTCGGAGCGATCTCGGATGTCCTCCAAGATGGCCCAAG